TTTTTTATTTGATTTTCTAATTTGATTCAATAATATAGTCATTTCCCCATTACTTTTAGAATATGTAATTTTTGTATTTTAATTCTACATATTTTTTCATATTAAATGATTTGAAATGAAATTGAGTAAAATGTTGAAAACCAAAAACGGTGATTCAAATATTTATTAAGTTATGATCTATCATATAAATTCATTTTTTAATTTCTCACCCATCCACTTTATTTGAATCCAATTTATTTATATCATACAGAGTAAAATTTATTCATTGTTTCTTTAAAATAATAGTTAAATATTCTTACTGTGCGACGCACGGAAAGTGTTAAAGATTTTGATTTGCAATAAAGACCTTCCTTCATGTTACCAAATAACGAATGTAGTTTGTAAAAAAACGTTTCAAAACTTTTAACACTTCCAAAACTCCCCTTCTTTTTTTCTATTTTTTCAATTTATATAATCTTTTCAAGTTTTTGTAACATTTTTCCTTATTCAAAACATTGAGTAATTATATGTTAATTAATAGCCCGTGCATCGCACGGGTACGAGCCTAGTGATATATAAAACATGTTCTAATGTGTATTATATGTAAGCTCGCTCTGTTATGAGCAAAATAGTGACTTGTCACTTGATGATGAGATTTTTATGTGTCCCCAACTGTGTATGTTTACCCAATAGTCTTCTCTGTTCTATTTCGACGTCAATAGCTACAAGCGCACGTCACCCTTTCTCTCTTCTCCAGTGACGTCTGCAGCTCCCTCTTCTCTAACGATGTTAGTAGCCCCCGACGCACGTTAGACTTCTCTCTCTTCTCAAAGTTTCCAGTTTCCAGCTAGTGTCCAAGCTTCCTCTTGCTTCATCCAGAGTTCAGCTTGAGGGAGGGTGTTAGACAATAATATTAATCCTAATTATTGTGGTATTAGTTATGGCAGTTCTTATGTTTTAGTCAGTTACTATTCTTGTTTCCTAGTTCTAGTTGGGGTTGTATTCACCTTCTATATATTTTACCATATACTCCATTATCTCTTGAATAATACATGTCTCAATATCTCAATAACGTGCTAAGCAAACTTGTGGAAGTTTTCCTATTAGATTTCATCAATCAATAGATAAATTTCACATGATACATTGTGACTTGTGGGCACCATATAGATTGCCAGGTTTGATGGTTTTACGATGTTCTTAACTATTATGGGTGATTTTTCTAGAGGAGTTTGAGTTTATTTTCTTGATTTCTAAGTGTATGGTTGGAAGCATTTTTAGACAATTCTGTGCAATGGTAGAATGATAACCATATTGGATCGGCTTGAATCTGATGACACTGGATCATGAACGTGTAGTTATCAACCCAAACCACAACTTATCTGAACCTGATGTAACCCAAACCCAATGTAATCGAACTCAAATTTGAACTGACCAGCAGATTTGCAAGCTCTAAAAATAGTGTATAATTGAAAAAAATTATATATTCGAAAATTAGAGATGACATGAGTATATTATTTTATCAAATAAGTAATAGAAATATGCCAACAAATTAAATAAAATTTATTTATGTGAATAAGGAATGGAAAGATCTTTTTTCAAGGTAAGGTGTAAGTAATACTACCTCCGTCCCAGAGTATTTGTTCACTTTCATTTTTATACATCATCCAATACACTTCTTTAATCCATTTTATCTTGTAATTTGTATATCAAAAACTATAGAAATTATATATTAACAATCTATATGTTAAGAAAAATCGAATAAGATCACACATGACTATATTTAGGCTTATACATTGAGAGAATTTGATGAGTCAAAATGTTTTGATGAACAGTTCCAAAAGTCAAAAGTGGACGAATATAGCGGGACGGAGTGGGTACTCGGTAACAAATGATACGAAACATGTTACATTGTTACCCAAGTACTTTCTCTATGGGTGGGCCGAACCAAAGAGAAAAGAAAGGAGTTAAGGCATGGGCCGCATGACTACTAATTACTGCGGGGTATTACAAATTTACAATAGGGCAAACACTAAGGCACCGTTTGGTACACAGAATTTAAATTATGAAATTGGAATTGGGGACTTCAATTTCAATTTTGGTGTTTGGTAGCACAAAAATTATGTAAATTTGAAATTGGTAGTGCAAAAAATGAATTGGAATGGATGAATCCAATTCTATGGAATTGAATCCCATGAATTTCAATTCCAATTACATCAATTCCATGTATCAAACAGAGCTTAAGAGTCTGTTTTGTATATGGAATTAGAATTGAATTGGAATTGAAATTTCATGAATTCTAATTCATTTTTTGCACTACCAATTCCAAATAATTTTTGTGCTACCAAACATCAAAATTGGAATTGAAATCTTCAATTCCATTTCCATAGTTTAAATTCCGTATACCAAACGGGGCCTAAAGTAAAAACACAACACACAACTTTAGGTAAAATTGAAAAGTAGTACTCGGTAAAAGACAGTGAAGGAACCTTTTTATTTTTTTTGGGAAGTGGAGAGTCCGAATTTGGATGTAAAAGTACGTTGATAATGGGGTGTGCCAATTGAGGTAGTCTTTGTACCTTGCCTATAAAAAGCAACGCATTATTGAGGTGGGGACACAGACGCACAGTATGGGTATGGACTATTTTGAGAGCACCGGAAATATTTTTGAAGCGCCGGGCTTCAAACCGAGCTTTAAAATTTCTCTCTCTGCCACGTCAGGTTTAGCTTACCTAACAGATTCATTGAAAATGGGTTTGAAGTCCCGGGGATTCAAACTGGGGCTTCAAACTTTCATTTTTTACATTTTTAAATATATATCTTCTAAAACTAAATTAATAAAATGTAATTAATTTATTATTTAATTATATTGAAATATGAAAATAAAAAAAATACATTCATTAAATTTAAATAAATTGAAACGACAATAATTTAAAATTTAAAAAATTACATTCATTAAACTAAAAAAAACGACAATAATAAAACAGATACATTAATGTTCAAAAGAGAATTGGAGAATGTGAAGAAGATTGAAGATTGAAGTTGTGAGAATGGGAGGGGGGGGAGTTTGAGATTTATAAAAAAATAATTTTTTTTGGGTATCAACGGCTAAATTAGCCGTTAGTGCGAGGGGAATCAGCGTCAAACGAATGACGCGTTTGGGGTGATGCCCGAAACATGCCGCAGGGCCGCTGGGGGCAGTGTTTAACGCCGGTCAGGCGTGAAAACCTGCGTAACGCCTACCGGCGTTAGGAGTATACCCAGTGCCCTGATAATAAGCAACGCATTAGAGCGCTCCTCGTAATTCTCTTAACGCTGGGGCATTTTTATGGGAGAACTTTTTAACGCTCCTAGCCTTAAACACCACCCCCTCCCCTATCAAGTTACGGTCATCTTTTCTACGTCAAAAATTTAACGCGCGTTGGAATTGATTTTTGGCCGTTAGAACCTCCCCCTCCCCCCCACAACGGCTATAATGTCAGGGATAAAGCCAAAGTAGGACTAAAACATTGAAAATGTACCAAAATAGAACTTCCATGTTTTTATTCCCGAAATAAGACTTACATTACCATACATGGTCATATACATTACCAAAAAAGTATAATAATTTGCACATGTACACTACCACATACATTACAACAGGGCAAAGTCACATTACCACAATGCAAATATCTATTTCAAGAAAAAAACATGAAAGTCCTATTTTGATACTTTTCTCTATGTGTTGGTCCTATTTATGGTGATTTCTAATAATGTCGTTGGCATTTATAAAAAAATTCATCTCCTTTATAAATTTAATCTATTTTTAAAAAGTTCAATACACATCACAAATATAAATTTCTCTCCTTTCTTAAAAAAATTATTAAAGTATTTGTTTTTATTTTTAACATGAAACTCTTTGGTTTTAACGTGCTTTTCCGGTCTCGAGCAAAACGAGAAAGCGATGTGGACTTTTCAATCATACGCCGATGATCCGTTGATGTATGATTCGCAAATCTCGGTAAATCTCGAGGACCTATAAAAGTTCAAGTGCAAATTGAGAAATGGCTTGTTTTTAGTACTACCTCTGTCCCATTTTATAACGCCTGTTTCGGTTTACGATGTTTGACTGAAATTATTTTCAAACCATTTTATATGACAAATGGTATAGAATTAAAAAATAAAAATTACATATTAAAGAACTACATCAAAAGATCTACAAAACTAGTAGTGACAATAATATTTTATTTTATCAAATTGCTAACGAAAATAGAGAAAGAAAGTGAATGAAGTTTGACCCTGTGAATAGTAAACATGCATTATAATTTGGGACGGAGGGAGTACTATCTAGTGCAAATTTCATATACTCCTTCCATCCGGAAATATTCTTCCCGTTTGACTTTTCCTGGTCAAAGTTTGTAAACTTTGACTATGATATATAGAAAAATACATTGTTTTATGATATAACTTTAATATGAATATATTCATTTTGAAATATAGTTTTCAAATATCAAATTTTTATAAAATATATACATGTATAAATAAAAATATTAGTGCTCAAAGTGCAATCTTGGAGATCGTAAAATGTCAAATGGGAAGTACATCTTAGGACGGAGGGAGTAGTTTTACTTTAGTACAAAGTATTTTTTTCTAAACTCTTGGAAAATAAAACTAAGTAAACAAAAAAAGGTATGCTACACTTACACCACAAACTCTACCCAATTTGTACATCGTAGTTATACACAAACATTTTGATGGTTTACACCGACATAAGTGTTGGTGCGATAATAAAAATTTACACGGACACAAAATGTTGGTGCATTATCAAAAATTAGTTTTACACCAACACAAAGTGTTGGTGCAAAATTGCAGGGTACAAAATGTTGGGGTACAAATAACTTTATCCACAAAAAAATCAGGCAGGGGTAGATATTATCTTCTTCTTCCTATATAAACCCCACCCATGTATGCAGATCTATTCGATCTAAACATCTTCAATTCTTCTTTCTTCCATTTCTCTTTCTAAATAAACCTCTTCCATTCTTCTTTCTTCCATTACTCTTGGTTCATTTTCGATATCTATTAATACATAATGCAGTAACATTCTTTAAATGTAATTGCGGTAGCATTGTCTAGCTACAATTTATACAATCTACCCTTGAAAGAGATCGCCGGAGTTTCCCGGCGTAATGGCTCGCCGGAAAAGGGTACCGCCGCCGAGTACTACCCTCCCATTGCCGACCAACACCGAAACAGTTCACCCGCACTTACATACATTTGCAAGCGGAGAATATTTCTCGGAGGTATCTGTGTTTGGAGACAAAGGTGACCCTGACCAAAAATGGTAACACCATTATTATAATGGACACTACACACAAAAGGTAATAATCAAGTAATTAATTAATTATTATCGATTTTACTTGCCAATGATTTAATAAAATATTGTACGTTCACTGTAACAGATAATCGAAAAATAATTCATTTATGTGTTTTTGGATCTATAAATTGGTTGCAGTACATGGTATTACAACATAACATACACATAGAGAACATATGCGTAGCAAATGTTATGGTTCGAACTTTATTTAAACATTTATTATGATTAAAATTAATGCATTAATAAACAATATTCATATCTGCAGTTTGATTCTTTTGTGGAGGCCGGACACACATATTCAAATTAAATCCCAATGGCACCTTTGGAATATTGTTACATGCCAGGGTGAGTTGAAAATAATTAAGAAATAAAGAGATATGCTCTTATATATTTTTTGTTCTATTTAATTTTATTTATATGAGGATTAGATGAATTGTTGAATTTGAACTATTTATTTGTTTCTTTTCGTTGCAGGGGCTGATTTTGGTGTTATGCATCCCACTCTACAATATTATACGGAGTACTCCGTAGTCATTTATTCCACTCCATCTATATACTAATTCTTACGTAGAGCTAATTCTTAATTGAGGGATGTGTAAATTAATATTTCTCAAAGTCGACATTGTTGTCCTTTTGTCCGTACAATTAGGTTCTTTCAATGATGTAATTGCATCACCTAGCGAGCATTACAATGTTTACCATTGCCACTCTAAAGAGGTTGTCGTAGTCTTGGGCAATGCGTGGCTGCAGAGAAGTTATGCCGCCCAATGATACTATTTAGCCAGGGCAGTACTGTTTCTCGGCAGCCTCACACTGCCCAAGACTCCGATGACCTCTTCAGAGTGGCGATGGAAAACATTAAAATGCTTGCTTGATGATGCAATTACATTATTGAAAGAACCTAACTGTACCGACAAAAGGACAACAATGTCAACTTTGAGAAATATTAATTTACCCATCCCTCAATTAAGTAGAAGCTCTATGTAAGAACTAGTACATAGATGGAGTGGAGTGTTCTATAAATACTATTTTTTCCCATTTTATGTAATGTCTATGTTCGAATTTAGTTGTCTATTTTCTCATATTGTTGTTTGAATCTATCCCGCATCAAAAGTTGATTAGAAAAATAATCGATATATAAGCTCTTGGGTTGAACTATGTAATCGATTACTTTGTTCAACTCAAGAGCTTATATATCAGTTACTATTCTATTCATTTGGATGTGAGATCGAATACTTTTCTATCGTTAATGGATGTTTATTTGGGAAGATTGCAATATTAGAAGATATGGAATTTGAATTTTGTTTGAATTTCACCAAATACTTACCAAAGACTTTTGCTAGAAATAAATTAAATATCAGAACTTGTATTTTATCGGCTTACCAAACGAGTCTTAAAGGGGTGGCTCCTGAGAGGTGACCGTGACCGCAGTCACCCTATTGTCCCCCTTTCATTTTAATTTTTCAATTTTTTTAATGGAGTATCAAACTAAGTAAAATTTAGCACATCTTCACATCTATCATACCATATATGAGTATATTTTTTTATCGTTTTACATCATATATCTTTATGTCCAATTATCACTCATCAACCCTCATTTTTTAATCTACCATACCACATAGCCTTAACCTATATCCATGTGACCACGTCAAATTTTTAAAATACTCCATCCCTTCCAAAAACAATTCTCTTTATTATTCCAAGTTTTTGGTAACTTTAATTTATATGTATTTTAATTTATCATTTGATAAAATAAATATTTCTCAAACTAATCGGTATAGGGAGTAATTTAATCTGGTGTAACTCTTTACGCTTTTTATAGGGAGTATTTTTTAGATTATGTCTAATAATAGGTGTTGTAACAAAGCCTAACTCACATCTTAGATCAACACAAATCTAATTAGACCAGATATTCTAGAGAGAATATGAACTATTTATTTTATAAATGTAGCACCACAGGTGCCTGATATCATCTGAAATGCTTTTCCTATCGGAGAGAATATGAACTATTTATTTTACCCCATGTGAAATGCTTTTCCTAAAGTTAAAAACTGCCCAAATTGGCTCAGCACAAAATTCGTTCCATATTTCACTAGTCTGACCAAAATGGCAAAAGCATTATTGCCCATTATTATTATCAGTTAGTGAAAATATTTACAATCCAACACTAACGAGTAAAAGAAAAAACTACTCCGTAATAATAAAAAAAATGGATTACTCTTCTTATTGTAATTTGTAAATTAGTTTCGTGATACTTAAGAGTAAAATTTTAAAATTTTGCATGATATAAGAGTCAGTTCTTATCCAAAAAAGAAATTCAAGCTTATTCAAAGAAGTGATAACTGAGACAATTAAAAAAATATAAAATCTCGCGCAAAAAACACAATATTAAAAATTGATATTGGACTCATTGTGAAAAGGTTGCTCAAATTGCACTTGCCAAAGAAACAATCTCTATTCGCCTTATAATAAAATTTCCGTTTTAGTTTACCATGTGCAATTCAAACTATTCTCTCCTCAATTTTGATTACATTTTTTCTCACCTCTTAATAACTTTTGCATATTTGAATAGTTTTATTGATTATTTGATAAAATAAAATATTCTATAGATATCTTTTTTTATAGATTTTTTTGTACCCCGAGGCAAAAAATATCAAGTTTTTTCAATTCATTTTATTTACATATTGGTAAAGAAATAAAAAATAAATTTTACATATAAAAAAACTACATAAACAATTCTTCGAAATAAGAGGTGTCAAGAATATTTTATTTTATCAAATAATCAATGAAAACGTCGAAATAAACAAAAGTTCCCGACACTACTAAAAAAACAAATATATATGTGTGTGTGTGTGTGTGTGTACGGAGTATATTCTAATTATGACTCATCTATTCTACATATCATATCCTACCTTATAAAAGAGTTATATATTTTTAATGTGTGTTTTTTTCTTTTCTTTGAAAAGTTTTATAGGACAGAAAAAATGATAATTAGGGATGCTTAGAATATACTCCCTCCGTCCCAAAAAGAATGTTAACTTTCATTTTTTTGCGCATCACAAAAAACACTGCTACTCACATCTAAAAATTCTAAAATTTACCATATTTACTCTTTATTATAAGATGAAATTGTTTTTAAAGTTTTTTTTAGCATTTGAGACGATATAAAAGTGTTTTAAGGGATGTGCAAAAAATGAAACGTAACAATCTTTTTGGGACGGAGGGAGTATTTTAGTACAAAGTTTATAGTATATTTTTTGCAGACAAAATAAAGGAAAAACCTAGGAAATGAATATGGAGAGAAAGAGAGATTAGTGAGTAATAATTTTTGGGGGGGGGGGGNAAACGTATGGGAAAGGGAGTAAATAAGAGAGGAAGAAGAAGAGAGAGAGGAGAGATTTGTGAAATGATTACCCGGATGAACTGTGATGCATTGACATGAGTTTTCTAGTCATACTATAGGACTTAATTACCTTTCTTTATCTTGATTCAAGAAATTAAAAAATAGTGTTAGTGCGATGCCAGGTAACTGAAACAGAACTCACCATGCAATGAAGAAAATTTTGCTCTTTTGGCAGTTCTCTGAGGTAACAAAATCAAAGTCATAGACAGCATTATCGGCAACGAGGCAGTGAAATCATCATAGCTCTTTTCAACAACAACTTCCTTCTTTCTCTCATCTATCTTGAAAACCACATAACGATACACCTTCTTTCTTTGCAATTCCGCGAACGTGTTTTTGCTGTGTTCTTGCTGTGTTTTTGCCTAACCAGCACAACCAACAACAATAACAACAAACCCAGTAAAAATCCCACAAAAAAGTATGAGTCTTGGAAGGGTGTGTGTACGCAAACCTTACAAGCACGGCCAATTGGCAAAAACTAAATTTACTCAAAGTAAAACAACAGTTTTCAATTTGCATGAATACTACCTTTTGAAGTTTATTTGTAGGTTCAACTAAACCTATTTTTTGGAAAATTACAGGAAAAATTAATTTCAATCTTCCCAAGAATCTGTTATTTCATTCTTCACTTAATCACACCCCCAACACCTAACCAAACACCCTGGTAAAACAAAAACAGTAAAAACAAGTTAAACAACAAAGATGTCAAATTCCACCCAATTTCTCAGAAATTCAGTATCACAGAGAAAGGAAATCTGAAGGAGAAAGAAATTCATGACTGGTTTCTCATTGCAAAAACAGAAAAAGTCAACCCTTCAAGCTAAACGAAAAACACTGCAACCAAGTACCCAAATATATGTTGATGTGAACAGCTAAATACAATATCAGTCGGATAAAGTCAACCCATCTTCAGTTGCGGATTCAAAATTCGGTCAGGAAAACATTGGAAAAGGAGAAGTTATTCAGATCTGAACACACAGAAATGCTAAAAAATAGTTTGAAGAACAATTACCCCTCTAAGAGACATGACTCTTGAGTAACATTTCAAAGCAGCAATAACATATACATCTGCATTCAATATGTTACCAGCTTAGGATCCTCTCTCTGATTTGCAATTCCAAAACCGGTGCATTTGCCTGTATGTTTAGTTACCAATTAGTTTGACGAATTTGCAGAATGTGCCGTTGTTGAATTAACAAGAAGAACCGGCCATTTGTATCTTTGAGATCTTCCAAGAGATACAAAATTCAACTGAGTTTTAAGGAAATACAATTGCAAAAACGATTTTGTGAAGCGAACTGTTTTTTTATTATAAGGAAATACAAAATGATCTGGTATATATCCAAGTAAATGGAGGATGCTTGGTTCAAAGGGGAGTTGGGAATGTAGCAAGAAGGGGGATAAATTGAGGAATAAAAAATATTTCTAAAAGAATTTTCAAAATCACAACTAAACAATACTCAAATGAAATTTTCAAAATCAATTTACCAAGTCCAAAACACAAGAGATTTAAGCAAGTTTAGAACTCATCAACCCATTTGACGTCGCACACTTTAGCTAAAAGCTACAAGGACAACAATAAAACAAACCCATAGTATCATTGTGGCCTAAAATAGGTAGAGAGGCTTACTTCCAATATACCCGGCAGACAAATCGAACATAGATGACAAATCAAGAGAAGTCAGCTAGTAAAAAGTAACAGATACTTCCAGTTCATATTGAGATACCAGGTTCTTCTCACCACACGGCATTTTGGAATGGGGTATAAGTTTGGTTTTGATGTTCTGCCTTTTGGTTCCAAACTTAGGGTGAAACTTGGCACATCCCTTGACAATCTGGCCAGAGTTGTCGTACAAAGTGGCACTAATTCTGAACTCAGTGGCAGGTGCCACAACAACAGAACGAGTCAACAGAATCGCATTGTCATAAGAGCGCAATGACATGGCATCATCCTTGGACTTGTAAAACAATGAGAGAGGTAACATTCCCTCAATGTCCTGAATAGCTATGATTTTTCCATGCACTTTTTCAGGCAAGTCGCCCCCTTCCCTCATCAAAATAACTTCAACAGTAGCACTAAAAGCCTCTTGCACCACTGCATAGCCAACTGTGACTTCTCCACGTTTCCCAAGCACAGTCTCCTTCAAACGGAAATCAAAATTTGCATAAGATAATAGAGTGACCTCATATCGTACATTCCACTCAATAGTGCCACTCACAATCTCCCCTTCTTCATCCTCTAGCATGATACGGATTTCGAAGTCAGAAAGGCCTGCAATGCCGCACAAAGGGCCGGTCAACGTTAGACCGGCCCCCTTTGCGATCTGTGATGCTATTGTCGCTTAGCTTTTGATCGTACACCGTATGAACCCATGCTCTATCCTCAACCTTGACACTTCCATGCACTTTAATAGGGCCTTCCTTGGGAGAAAAACCATATCTCCGAAGGCGAATATACGTTATGCTCACGTAACAATGCGGGTGATTTGGCGACTGATAAAGGAGGAAATCCCAATCATAACCTTCTTCTGGTTTGTTTTTCAAAAATTTGGGTGGCGCCCATTGCAACCTCAGAACCTTGCTGCTATTCGGTATTGGAAAAATATTCAGATATAATTTAAAGAGCAAAGCTTCACTGTGAGTTTCAAATTGGATAAACCCATGTCCCTCTTGTGAGAAAGAGACATGAACATCCTGAAAAAGCCAAAAACTAACTATAAAATTAATATAAAAAAACTCCATTTATTCTTAATTTCATCATTGTTTAACCAAAACGAAAGTCATTAAACAATATTCTACTGGGATTTATAATTAGAAAAAAGAAATCCCCAATTCTATTTTCTAGAGGGATAATAGAATTAATTACCTGGCCAACGTAATTGCAGAAGTAGGTGAGGAAATCGGAGTCCATCCAGGGTTCAAGACCATAGACGAAAAGGGAGCGAGTCTCGTCGAATCCTGTGAGTGCGAATTCATCATGGTATTGTTTAATCTTGCTGCTATCAGGAGTGGGCAGCACAGGGAAAAGAGTTCTCGTCATGATTAGCAGTTGATGATCAAAAACCTAATTGCGCGGAGACTCGAGAGAGATATGCGCCAAGTGATCGATCGGGAAACCACGCCGTTTGTTCGTTAGAGGCAGTAAACCAAAGCTCCCTCGGAAAATTGCAGAATTTAAGCTTTACTACGGTCCTACCCGGGGCAGAAATTGCAGAATTTAAGCTTTACTCCTCTTTTCTTAAAAACTACTACTCCGTATTTTATCCTGTGCCAGACGGGGTGAAACCTATTTTTTTGTTTCGAATTTTTAATCTTTTTTGTTACAACATTTTTAAAAAATTAAACAAAATAAAATATTAACCTTAAAAGTTAAAATAATACTAATAAAATATATTTCCTCAGTTGCACAAGACCTTTCTGGTTTTGATCTAAAGGATTTAGAGGAGAATATTTTTGTGTAGGCCTTTCAAAAATGCCTCAGATGTGATGAGTAACGGTAGAATATTGATGGGAAATAATACGTGACCCGGTCCACATTTCCCAATTATATACGAAGAACAGTCAAACCGGACTTATTTAATAAAATGGAGGAATAAGAGAATATTCCTCCGAAGATGCTCCTCCTTCCTCCTGAGGAGGGGTGTCCCCAATGTGAAGAGGGAGGCCAATTTTTACACTCCTCTGCTCACTTCCTTTCTCTCTCTAGAATAGTGTGTATTTTGCTTCTTCTTCAAGAGCTCAAAAGCTCCATTAATGGCTTCTACGCCTAAATCATGTACCGTGTACACACCCCCGATATTAATAAAAATCCCCCGTTGGCAAGGTACCACCAAAAAAGGCCCGTGGTTTTCTCCCGATTTGGGTTTCCACGTCAAAATCCTCGTGTTTATATTTTGATGAATTTTTAGACTAGTTTATCGTTTTTGCCTGGCTAAAAACGATATACCGGTCGATAATTTACACCATCATTTTGGCGCCACCCGTGGGACCTGAACAAATAGCCATGTTCATCTTTTTCTTACTGCAAAAGTGCTACGAAAGAAGAGAGGCAGGGGAAGTTTAAAATCTCAATTTTTGCAAAAATAAAGGAGAAAAAAACATGGAGGCGTGGCTTTGTTTGCAAATTAGCCAAACTATTGACCCATTGAGGATGGGATTTGTTTTGCGGAAACTGTAAAGACAAGAGGAGGCTGGAGTCAGCCACGAGAGTTTTTGACCACCATCATCTCGGGGTCCGCTGTCGTTGATGTTGCGGCTGAGGTCGGCATCACCGGGGCCTCAATTCTCCACTCCGTTCCCCAATTTGGCCCGACCCATGCTTCTCCCGCCGCCACCGTCGAAGAGGAGGAGGAAGACAACCACACTGTCGGGGGGCAATTCGCTTTAGCCGGCACCAAAGTTAGCCATTACTCTATCATAGAGCAAGCAGATCGCTCTCGGTTTTGCCGACGAAGTCTATCACCACTGTCGAAGAGGAGCAAGCAGAATAGCAGATCGCTTCTGCCGACAAAGTCTATCACCACCGTCAGCGATGTTGCCATCCTTAATTTCGCATGCCGCTGCATTATTCTCCACCGTTTATTTCTCAAGATTTGTCAAACGGATGTGGAAATCTAGACGGTACCACCTCTGGATGACCTGGTCCAAATTCGCTATTACAAGTAACTAAAGTAAGATCCTCCGCTACCGCCACTGTTGCGGCCGTTGCAGTAGTGGACCGCTGCGACGACGTGATATCCAAATCACTGAAACCACCGCTGTTATTGAAGTGGGAAGAGGAGAAAGCTCCGTTGCAGCCACAATACCATTGTCATGGTTATGCGATGCGGGTCAAATCTATCACCGCCATCTTCAAAGCCAGCCATTACTACTGATGAAGCCAAACATCGATGGTGCCACTGTTGAAATCCGCCTCCGGGCCGTTGGGTTCAACCATCGCCGCCGCAGGGTTCGGTTGCTGCTGTCGCCCGATTCGCCCCTATTCAAATTGACGGCTTGAAGACTGTCGTAGCATCATCTACTTGGTATAGATCACCGCCGCCCACTCTTTGTGTAAAGATGTTCTCGCCGCGGCTCAATTTCGCATCCATTGCTAGATCTGTTCTTAGCCGGTGCAATCCACCATCGCCACCGCCAATGATGTTAGCCATTGCGGACGCCGAGGTGCCGCCATCAATATCGTCATCAAAAACCTTCGCCGTCACTGCTAGAGTTTGCCGGCGATGTTGCTCATATTCACCGCCATCATATTTTAAATTTGCGACTGCCCAGACCTCCACTGGCGTCATTATTGGAGATGAAGATCACTGTCGCTGGTGCCTATTTGTACCCTCGAAGCTATTGGTAGGGCTTTTTGATTTCTCTGTCACTACTACTACGACCAGAAACCAAAGCCAAGGAGGAGGCCAATTTTTACACTCTCCCCTGCCCACTTCCTTTCTCTCTTTAGAATAGTGTGTATTTTGCTTCTTCTTCAAAAGCTCCATTAATGGCTTCTACACCTAAATCATGTACCGTGTACACACCCCCGATATTAATAAAAATCCCCCGTTGGCAAGGTACCGCCAAAAAAGGCCCGTGGTTTTCTCCCGATTTGGGTTTCCACGTCAAAATCTTCGTATTTATATTTTGGTAAATTTTTAGACTAGTTTATCGTTTTTGCCTGGCTAAAAATGATATACCGGTTGATAATTTACACCATCAAATATAATGGTTAAATTAATAGCTAAAAATGTGATATGATGCACATGTTAAGAATTAGTAGGAGTAAAAATAATTTTTTCATTAAATTGAGAAAGATTTTCTGTGACGGATGAAAAAAAAGAGAAAAATTTTGTGAGACTCAAGAATTATACTCCGTAATATTTGCTAATGAAAATTATACTATATATATATTTGAAAATTAACTTGTCAAGCTCTTATTTAAATGAGAACATCTCAAAAAATTAAGGTATATAACATTTTTGTGTCACGTTATAAAGACTACCGAAAACATCTAAAATTAATACTTTCAACCTAACTTTACTCCCACTCACTAAACAATAATATTGGTAGAATTATTAAGAGTATCAACCACTTTATTACAATCTGTTTCCACAATGATATGCCTCCAATCTTTGTCATTGATCCAACTTAATGCCCCGTTTGCTTCAATTACTTCCGTATCGCTAGGTCTAAAGCATCCTCTACAATGCAAATTATGTGCAGTAATTAAAGCTCATTGATAGTTTCGAGCAATAAAATCGAACTCCGAAACTCTATCAGCCAATCTCGTTGAAGCATACACATTAATCTTGACATAGTCATTATATAGCTATCATTGATGGATAAAAATATGATTCTCCTCATAGTAGTTTAGATTATTGAATAAAATTGATTTATCTCCCCGCATTAAGATGATTCTCTTCCCTCGTATTGATTAAAACATAAGAAAAATTTATATGAATACTCCAAGAAATTTGTAATTTTATGTTAATACTCCAAAATTCAATAATTTACACCACTGCTCCCAGAATTCACTCAATTTACGCCAATACTCTAGGCTGTAAATATATGGAATTTTAAATGATGACTGAACAGTTACTAAGTGTGAGTTGATAATTAATTAAAAAATAAAAAACCTTGAATGCCTTATAATTATCCCCTACTATACATGTCGATTAAAAATAAAAATTGTTAAAATTATAAAATAAACTATTTATATTTTAATCGAATAAATTGTGAATAATGTTTCAAATAATATACTCCGTATTAGATAATTTTAAAGTTGATATAGCTCCAAATTTATATTTCAAAGATCTTTCTAATGAATATAAATTGGATTATGAAATATCTACTTCAAAATTCCTTATTTAATCTGAAATATTATTTTTCTTTATTTTTTATCACTCTATAGTTACCAGCACATACTTAATACTTTAAAGTCTCCACTTAAAATTCCACATATTCTACATAGTTAATTGGCAGGCCATAGTATTGGTATAAAATATAGCAATTTTTGGGAGTAGTTATGTAAATTATTGAATGTCGGAGTATTAATGTAAAATAAGAAATTTCTTGAAGTATTCGTGTGAAGTTTTCTAAAAAAATATTTTTCCCACTGATAATTACTTAAAAGTAATATTACTGATTCTATTATTATTCTCCTTGCAATAGTCATGATTCAAAGATGACTCTTTTATCATGCATTGCTGCATTAATTTTGATTTGCAAAATAAAAATTAATCATTTCTTTCGCATTATATGATTTTCTTTTCTCACATCCTTGAAAAATATCGGATTGATTCTTCTCTCCCCACATTAGTCAAAAACTTTTAATCTTAGATTAGCAATCCTATGATTCAAAAAATAAAAAGAAAAAATAGTTAAAAATCCAATTATTTTTATCATTAGCATTAATTAAAAAAATTAATATAAAAAACATCAATGATCCTATCATTTTGAATAAAAATTTACAATAATATTTAAAAGTTCTTTTTTGTGTTTTTTCTTTATATTTGAATACAAATTACTCATTCTTTAATTTATTTGATTTAAATATTTGATCATAGTGAAAATTGTCTAGCTAGTCGTTTGTAGTATTTCATAGGTAAAATGCAACAAGCAAGAAGCAGAAAACAACCTTCTCTTTAGTTTTACGAAACGGTCCCAAAGCGCCCTTTCGCCTCTTCGGACGAGACGACAATTGCAATTGCAAGAACAACCAGCAACCCTAAAATCCTACCCGACTACCGTAATTCTCATTCTATAGATGCTCGTACTTAACATAAAAATTAGTAGAAAAAGACCGAAGCATTGAAAGTATGCCAAAATAGGAATTATATGATTTTGTTCAATTCTCGAAATAAGAGTTAAAATGTAAGCACAGTGTCAATCATGACCATATACATTACCAAAAAGTATTGTGAAATTTCTATATACAGTCTCACATTACCACATTGTGAATACTTATTTTGGAAATAAAAGCATGGAAATTCTTTAAAAATTACTCGTAAATATTTAAAAATTACTACATCAAATACTTTCTAAAACAAGAGACAAATGACTACATTATTCATTAAATGTACAAGAAAGTGAAGTGTTCTCAAGAAATTACCAAGATAGTG